CATATATGATTTTGACTATGAATACCACACATGGAAGAGGGTACATATATGATTTTGACTATGAATACCACACATGGAGGAGGGTGCATATATGATTTTGCTTTCCTAAAAAAAGCTCTGGAGTCCTGGTGTGGCACAGTAGGATCAGCTCTGCACAACAAGGTTGGTTTGAACTGCAAGGTCAGTGGTTCAAACTCACCACTGCTCCTCAAAAACCCTCTGCAGGGTAGCTATGAGTTGGAAATGACGCTATAGCACTTAACAACAACTACAGAATGTTTTATTTACTAAAGCTATTTCAGGAAATCATAATTACAATTTCCATGGTATTACCAGACTGGATAGACTTCACCATAAACCAGTGGAGAGATATTGAGACTGAAATAACTGAAATATCTACGTCATGAAAATTCTTACCTCAGAAACAATCAATGAAAAACAGATTTAATATAAGCTTCTTATAGTTTTATCTACTAATAGCTCATCTAGTATGCCTTTTACTTCCACTTTTTTAGTTAATGTTGTTCTCTCTTAGCAGGATACAAGAAAAGTCCTGAACGTGTCTTCTCCATCGATACTGCTTAACTGCACCAGTCAAGTGAGAGAACTGTATTCCTAAAGTCTTGATTTGGAGTCCTGATATGGCACAGCGGGTTAATGCACTGGACTGGCAAGGTTGGTGGTTCAAGGTCACCAGCCGCTCCTCAGAAACCCTCTAAGGGTTGCTATGAGTCAGGACCAACTTGGGCAACAACATAGTCTTGATTTAAAAATTAATCACATAACTTGTCTAAGAAGAGTATGGAAACAAAGACCAGTGAAGTCAGCTGTCTAATAACAGCTGTTTCGTCCCACAACTCTTCAGACTCCCAAACTTTCCCTTCTTGTATTTCTGCAGATCTCTTCCTCTAATGGTCTAAATACCACCCTGGACTGACTGACCCAACATCCTCTATCGTCAAGGACTTCCAACCCCACCCTACCTCAGTAGACTCCACTCCAGGCATGGACGCTCCAACTGTGTCGGTCCATGAGTGGCTTTGTCGTTCACCAGACATATAGCACTTAGGCCAGAAAGCAAGCTAAGCAGATGATGAAGCACAGGTCTGCCCAGCTCAGTCCTCTGGTTAGAGAGGCGCACGCAACAAGACTGCGCAATGAAGGAAGCAGTGCCCAAGTTACCTTCAGTACTAGCTCCTGAGCTCTTGTAGGAAGTGTACTCCAGTCCTGCACTATGTTAGAGGGTCACCTGAAAGCCCCACCTTTCAAACTTCACAATCCGGAATTCTCCTCCCTGGACACACAAGCTACTTCTATCTTCCTACTTATCACAGCCCTCATCCACAATGAATGGGCCTTCACGTCCATCTTCACTTGGAGGCCCACTCCCTGACTGATTCTCACAACCCTTCCGTCCTTCCTGAATTCTCTTATTCTCCCTCTCTAGCCTGCCCCCCCAATGATTCAGCCATCGTATTTGTACCCTGGGTTGGTGGTCATGTGCCATGGGGTCGGTTCTGTTCATAGGGACCCTGCACAGGGTTTCCAAGACATAAATCTTTATGGGAGCAGAACGCCTCTTCTTTCTCCTCTCCTATGGAATGGCTGGTAGTTTTGAACTGGTGACCCTGAGATTAGTAGCCTGGCTCGCAACCACTGTGTAACCACTATGCTACCAGAGCTCCTAGTGTGGCACTGTGGGTTATTGCGCTGGACTGCAAAGTCGGTTTAAACTGCAAGGTTGGCGGTTCAAGCTAACCAGCTGCTCCACGGAAACTCTATGCAAGGTCGCTATGGGTCGGAACTGACTCGACGGCACTTCACAACAACACCCTATACTCTAGGATGGTGGTTCTCAGTTGGAGTCTGGACCAATGTGTCTGCATTACCTGAGAATGTGCTATAAATGCAAAGTCTCTGGAAGACCAGCGATCCATAGGATTCTGGTAGATGCTAAAGTTTGGGAACCACTGCCCTGAATTAGACCTCCAATGGCTGTCAACATTTTGTCCTGTTTTCACTATCCCCAAGCGCTGCCCAATCACCTGTCTCTTCTACTTCAACTCAGCAATGACCAAGAAACTCAGCTGGTTGGGATCTCACTGTGGCCCTTGAAAGTACTCCTATTCCCCAAGAAGCTGATCCACATCATTCTACTTTTCCAAATACCTCATGCCTATCTTTTTCCCTGTCATCAATTACAGTTCTACCTTAGTTTGCGGCAGTGGTAGTTGTAGGGTAAAGGAATCAAGAAGGTAAACGCATGTTCTTTACTGCAAGCTCAGAGTGGTCAGAGATCAGTGACTGCACAGGGACCCACTCCTAGCTGACCCCCTGTCCGTCAAGCTCAGAGTGGTCAGAGATCAGTGACTGCACAGGGACCCACTCCTAGTTGACCCCCTGTCCGTCGGCCTGCTGATGAAGTCACCGTTACGTCAGTTTGCTCATTTCTGTTTTAGAGAGCCACAGGTTTGTGTCAGCATCAGGGCGGGGAAATCAAGACCATCCTCCTCTCCTAGAAACTGCTGAGTGCACAGACACATTGGTTACATCCGGGATGTGCGTCATACCATAGACAAGTGACAGGGGACACACAGGGACTCTGCAGGGCCTCCGTGTGCCTCAAAGCTGGAATCAAAACCTAACTTAGGAAATATCTCAACCCAAAAACATGGAGTTAAAGCCAGCTATCTAGCTGCAGCTGGGAAATTCCCCTAAGACTGGTATCTAGCAGGTTCCCATGACTAACAAAGGCACCCCAAGAGATCTGAAGGTGCTTCCGGGTTCTAACCACACTTCACATTACCAATCAAGCATCCACATGTGCAGGCGTCCACCTTTCAGCCCAGTAAATGACCACAATCCATCGCTACCGAAATTTTGCTGTGATGCAGGTACACCTCAATACCTAGAAAAGGCAGATGGGCACTCTCTGCATAAAGAAGAGCTAAGACCAGAATCTAAGCTTCATATGTGTACCAGGCCCGCTGAAGCTATTCAAGGCAAGTTACGTAAAAAGTTAGTCAGGCTATCAAAGGGGCCAATTGTATTCTAATTGGGATCAAGTGACTTGGGCTTAAAGTCTCATTTCCTGACTTTCCTGCTCTGGTTTTCTGGGGATAACATACTGAGATTTCCTCTATCTTATGACAATAACACTGGCCCCACCTGCCCACCCCACAGGGATCACGAGAATGCTTGAAACTGATGCCAGGGGATACCAAGGTGTCACTAGGAGACACTCCCTGGCCCTCTCCCACCAGTCCGAGTAGCCAGACAGGCGTCAGGTCTACACATGAAAGTACTACATGACATTCTTTCTATGAAAACCATTTCGATAAGAACCTAAGCTGGAAACAGTTAAATTATACAACAGCAGTTCCCTTCTGAAACCACTAAACTCATCATGGATACTGTGCAGTTGTTCTAAGGTCATCATCATAAGTACTTCGGATTCTTCACACCAAAAGGTATGCAGTGAGGGACACACAGACTACTCCAATAATGACTGCTGACCAATCAAATTGGTCCAATGAAGGAATGAATATCTGAGGCAGCTCAAGAGAAATCGAGTCTAGAGAAATTCCCAAACAGATTGAAAATAATGATGTTATGATTACAGAATTATTAGTAAGTCCCAGGACTGCTACTAGAACCACAATGGGAGCTGTACTTAGCACTGAGGCCTCTTGCAGACAGCTTTCGATTCTGGGAAGACCGCATTTCAACAAGCCTCTCTGTGCTGCCTGGGTAGCAGGTGACAGTAGTGTTGTTCATACGCAGATCCTTGGCTGAGCAACAGTTTTAGTTGGCAGAGCTCCAAAATAAGAAAAACAAAAAATACCAGGGGGAAAAAAACAGATTAAGAAGTTTTGTTTTGTTTCAGCATCATTGAGGGCTGAGCGAACACAGAACGAGGTGTGGGAACAGATGGCTCTGCTCCGGTCTACATGGTCTTTATCGTGGCTCCTCCAGTGTGAACATTCCAGGCCACCGCTTACTCGGATGCAGCCCTGGCGGAGATGGAGTGCCACAGCACTCTGCAGACAGCACAGCTGGGGCCCTGAGCCAGAAGGAGTGCGTGCCTGCTGGAGGGCGGGAGGAGATGGCACTGTGGTAGAAAGCACTGGACTGCAAGGTCAGCTTGAACCACAAAGTCTGCAGTTCAGACACACCAGCTGCTGCTCAGACACCCTTTAGAGGGTCACTAGGAGTTGGAAGTGACTTGACAACACTTAACAACAACAACTACGAGACTATGGATTACTCTGACTTCACTACATCCTTCCTTTCCTGAGCTTACGAATCTTGCATGCTGGCAAAATCCTGAGCAGGGAGAAGACTGCTCGGACTCGAGGACTATAGTCAGTTTCCTTGTTTAGAAGATGGCCATAGCTTTCCTAGTTGACTGTCGTTTAGGTTGAGAAATGTCACCATTTAAGAAAACCCAAACTTATGAAGCATGTCAATGGTGGGTGATTGCAGGTCTCATTTTCAAAATGACATTTAATATAATTTTAAAGACTTTTTTTCCCTAAAACACACTTAATGTACGACTGTTGCTAAGTGCCGCCAAGCCGGTTCAGACTCACAGTGACCTTGTATAGGGTTTCCAATGAGCAGCTGATGAACTTGAACTGCCGACCTTTCAATTCAAGCCGACCTTGACATCCAGCGCACTAACCCTCAGCACCACACCAGGACTCCGGGTCCTAAAACTGAATTGGTCAATGGATTGTCTCTGAAGCACAAACATTTTCACAAAGAATCCTTGTATCATTTATCGAAGTTTCCCCAAACAAATGACAAATTCTATACAATGCATAAGAGTTAGCCATATCTGGCCAGTCTCAAGAAAGTATAATCTCATATACATTAAGGAAATAATAAAAGTGTAATAAAGAGGCATTGTAAAAACACACCTGCTAAATTGCTTTTTAAAATGGTGCAGACATTAATGCCAAGTCTTCACCTTCACTAAGAAACATTTTCTGCATTCCAAAGTCATTGGAGTTTTGAGAAAACATAAAAAATGTTGCAAATAACTGAAGATCGGAGACCACCTAAAGTAAAGCTTTCACAAGTATTTCTAGCAGAGCCAAGACTGAGCTATTCATTCCCTCAAAAGAGCCATCTAATTAGAGCAGCTTGCCAGAGCGGACACGCACACTACTGTGGGCACCCTAATCGTCCTGTCCGATGCCTCAGGACCCACTTGGTTTAGTCAAGGCCAGCCCCCGTCACATGATCCCTCAGCACTCGGCCCAGCAGAATAACAAGGGTCAAGAGCAGGGCAGTGACGCTGTAAGATGGGGCCAGGCAGTGGACGGTGCGGTCATGCGACCAGATGCCAGTGCCCACTCTACCACTGATCTCTCTTTGTAAGGCAGCTAACATTCCTGCACCTGAGTGAACACTGTAAAACTCAGATTGCTCAGTGGTGGTTCCCACAGCCCAGTCTTCCGGGGACTATTTTTGGATGACAAGGGCTCCGTGCAAACTTGGAATCAGAAGATCCACATGCAATGTGTACACCGTTGAATGACACAATTCGCCCAGCGAGGGGCTTTTAAATCAGAGGCTCCGCAAGAGAAACCACTGAGGAGTCAGACACGGGCGAAGGTGCTCGTGCACGCCCGCACTCTATAGCAATAGCCCATGGCTCATGGCAGGACATCATCTGTCGGCAAGTGTAAAGGACTCACCGAAGACACTTTATACTTGGGCTCCTAATTCTTAACAAACAGCCCCCTGGGCCTCAAGTCCCACCACCCAGTGCCTGGAGTCCATCAACAGTCTCCTAATGAGAATGTCACTCACTTGGCAAGCATCTACTAGATATTCTGAGCACCTAAATGCCAACGACCCCTAAAGGCCTATCTCAGGCCCAGAACTCGCCTCCCAACTCCAGACTCAGATTACCAATCTCCACTCTTGCTGCTCACCCCAATCTAATCTCCGGCGAGGCCCCCACTCACAATCTTTCTCCCTTCCACGTCTTACCGAGCATCACTAGTCACAGCATTCCTTAAGGTTAAACCTGGACAAGCTCTCTCCCTCCTCACCACCCCACAAGAAGTACAGAGGTAAACACTGTTGGTCCTGTTTCTACAGTGTTCCTCAAACTCATTCGGGTTTCTCCATCTTCAGCGACACCATGCTTGTTCAAGTCGCCATCACCTCTGGCCTAGAAGAGTCTCCTAACTGGTGTGTTCAAGTCGATTTGTAGCTCCCTACAATCCATTCGCCATGTAAGTCAGGACAATCGTTCTAAGCTAAGTTAGTCCATGTCAGTTCCTTGACTTTAAATGCTTTAGGGACTCCCCACTGTACTGTGAACAGAATGCAGATTTCTTCCTACGCTCTGTAGGGTCCTGCAGAGTTTGCTCTCTGCCTGTTGACCTCTCCAGTCTTAAGTCACTGACTCCACTGCAGTCATGCTGACCCTTCTTCCGCTACCCAAATGTCCCAGGTCATGTCCCAGGATGACCTCCCTTCCTTTCACCCCCCACCCTCCTGTGTTTGCCCATGTGACCGCCTCCACGCTAGCACTCTTTCTATAGATGGTTCTTTCTCATCCTTCCAGTCTCAAACCAATAGCATCTTCTAACAAAGGCCGTCCCTAACCACCCAGAGAATTTCTTCACAACATTTTCTTTTCCTTCTTAGTGGTTTCTCATTGCTTTGTAACACATATTTCCTTGTCATGTCAGTTACTTATTTCTGTCCTGTTCCTTTAAATTACTTCATTAGTATTCCTTATCCAGCTCAGCACTCAGTAGGTACTTTCACTATGTACTGAATTCACTAATGAAGACAAGTACCTTAGGCACGCCCACATCTAACTATGCATAACCCACTGGTGACTACAGTATGCAATAAAAAAGAGTATACCTTGTCAACTTTTTTCTTTTTCACAGGGGGGTCAAACCTATCATTAGCTCCAAAATACTGCGTCAGTTCCTTCCACTGGGCTTCATTTGAGGCTTGTTTTCTACAGGAAAACAGATAAAAACTTTTAGATAAAATGTGCTCATTTTGACCATTTTTGATTGGCTATTATATCACAACTAAGTCTTCTGCTTAAGCAGTTTCAGAGAGGGTGGATTCATTTGGCCCCAGCCTACAAGGCCGCCCGGAATAGGTAAGTGTTTAAATCTGACCTACCTCTGAGCCGCCTCGTCACTCTTCACTTCACCTAAAAGGAATTCATAAACTGTGAATACCTTGTAGTGCTTTCAATGGTTACTTTAAATTCCACTTTAAGTCAAATTTCACCCTTAGAGCTAATGATAACTGACCAGAATGAAAACCAGAACCTTTCCTGGAGCGTCTTCCTCTTTTCCTCTTGAATCTTGAGGCTGACGTTTTCTGTTCAGAATGTTTTTTGTGCAATTCTTGAAATTTCTATATAAAAGTGGGGGGGAGGGCAATGGAGAAGCAAATACATTTCGCAGCAACAAGGCATGCACTTAAAAAATAAACTTGCTAAAAAGTACTGAAAAGGATGCTATTCCAACATTTTAATGATATCAGTTTAACGGCAGGAGTTTAGCTCTTCTTGAGCTATTCTCTTCTCTCACAACCTGTGTTTTCAAAGTCAGTCATCTGCTCAGCTGAGACTAAAATGTGATGGTTCACATGGAGAACCGAGGATAGGAGCAAGTTCGAAATGCCTCAGGTCTCCTCGGGTGCAGGAGCTAACCGCACTGCTTTGCCCCTCTGTCTTCTGCTAAGCAAACAGAAATCAAAGCCATTACCTAAGAAGCCACTGTTTCCATGACAGCCCCAGCCCACTCTAAGCTCTCAGAGGGGAACTTTTCCACCTGTTCTTGCCTAAGAACATATGCATTCTGACCGTGGCAGACATACGGCAATAACACACACACAGGCTGCAGTAGGCACACCACACAGTACCTACATTCCACACGTGCACAGAAATCCCAGCGGGGCACTCTTCATATGCATTTGTATTTGCCTCGGTTTCAGTTTCCGCTCCATCGGTGGGGAAAGCGGGGATTTCTGTGGTTCTGGTCACGTGATCTTCTGCTTCATCCTGTAGGTGAAGTCTGGAATTCTCCGATGTGGCCTCTTCATCTTCAGAACTTGACTCCACATCACTTTCATTTAAGCCAGGAGGTAGCAGCCCACTCCACATCTTCTCTGCAACAGGGAAAGATACAGATTCAGACATGCAAAGTAACCACAAAAGGAATTTTTAAAGCAACTGAAATGGAACCTCAGGAGCCTCACAATTATACCAACTGTTTGGAAACAGCCCATCTCCTGTGTCTTTTAAATCTAAAAACATGCCAATATTGGAAACTGAGTGTCATGACCCTAATGCAAACATTTCTGCTGTTCTGAGATTTATGGGAGGAGGGCAGAAACTGGCTCTATTACGACTTTATCACAATGGACCCTTGGGCTCATTCTCCATTTCAGATTTAAAGAGGTATTTTTGGTTTAGGGTTTAAAGATTATCTCAGGGCAATAGCTTTAGGAGTTCTTTCAACCCTCATGGCTCTAGAAGTCTGAGATCCTTGAGGATTTGTAATTCTGTTATATATTTCCTCCTTTTGGTCAGGATTCTTCTATGAAATCTTTGACCAAAATGTTCAGTAATGGTAGCCAGGCAACATGCAGCTCTTCTGGTTTCATGGCAAAGGAGGCAACTGGCTACATATTCCGTGTTCTCCTCCTATTCCTCACTCCCCTTCTTCCTCTATTGCTGCAGGTACTCTGACATTCGGGGCGGCAGTGTACAAAAGAAGCAAAACCCCTGAAGCTTATGGTCATGAGATTCTACCAACGTGGCCAGTTCTATGAGCAGCCCAAGCTCTCAGCTGGGGTTGATAGTTAGTGACAAGCACATTCCTCTTGGACACGCTGCGCCTGCAGTTGTGTGCCCTGCTTCACAGGAGGGAGCAGTCTCAGGTGCCCAAGAGGGAAGGCCTTTCCTCATTGGCTCACAAGCTCTCACCAACATGCCAGTGAGCTGTCTTCAGGATGATATCTGCCTGGTACAATCATCTCCTGTGGGTATCCACAGGAAAAACAAAAATAATTTTTTAAAAGATGAATTTAGTTCCAAACCCATAAAATAAGGCAAAATTTAAACAAGGTTGCGTTTCAGAACTCAGTTCCTACAAATCTTTAAGGTGAAGTGCCACTCCTCTGTGATTTAAAAAAAATTACAAAATAAAGAGCCCCTGGAGGCTCAGTGGCTGCTGTTACCACAGTAAGAGCTGCCCTGCGCTGACCTTGTGGTTTGTAGTCCAGTGTTTATCCTACAGCTGCACACCAAGAGTCTTATACGCCTGCTTTCTAATAAGGTGTCCCAGTGGTACAGTGGTTAAAACACTCAGTTGTTAATCCGAAAGGTTGACAGTTCGACTCACCAGTCCCTCAACAGGAGAAAGCTGCGGCGATTTGCTTCTGTATAGATCTGCTGCCTTGGAAACCCTATGGGGCAGCTGTACTCTGTCCTATATGGTTGCTGTGAGTTGTAATAGACTTGGCGAGTTTTAATAAGAAAAAAAAAACAACAATTAATATTATTCAGTAAACACAATCTTTTAAGATAAAGTATCAATAAAGATATCCAATCATATAAAAAAGGGGTCTCAGGTTGTGAAAAAATTGGGACCCACTGGTGTGGGGGTGGGGGTGGGTGAGGCACAGTCTTGAAAGGCAGAAGACCGGTTTCTAGTCCTTAGGAACAAGATTGTAGTAAAGCACTGCATTCCTCTGGTTCTCCATTCATGATGCACACAATGAAGAGTTGTGATAAGATGATCTTTGAGATGTCTTGCAGCTCTAAAATGTTTCTTCATGGATCCTAAAGGCTGCATGTGTCCCAAATGCCCACAAAACTCACTCCTTGCTGCAGCAAAGTCTCGTATACCATTGATTAAAGCTCAGAACCCCAGTAGATCATTTCTATCCTCTATTTAGCAGCCAGTCATGCTGGCTGGATTTTGGCAAAACGCTACACTTTAGATCCTGTTTGATACTTTGGAGAAAAAGAAGAGAGGGAAAACCCCAGAAGAAACAGATGAAATAAAGCAGGCACACACACAATATGACAGGCAGTGATTGACCATTAATCGTACAATGATCCTCCCACGCGGGAAAGACTTCTAACATACCTAACACATTTTGATTTATTTTAAAGAAATAGAACTCCAGCGTTCAAATTATAAACTTTTAAAGGGGAGAGCTGTAGCTATTGTTTTAAGTAATAATATATGCTCTGTAGTCCTGGTGTGGTGCTGCAGGACAATGCATTGAACTGCAAGATTAGTGTGAACCACAAAGTTGGCATTTCAAACTAGCTAGCTGCTCCTGGGAAACTGCTTGACAGGGTCACCAAGAAGCAGAACTGACTTAAGGGAAGTTAACAACAACAACATATGCTCTGACACAAAGACTTTAGAGTGAACCTAAAGAATGACCCTAGCCTTTTTAATTCTACACTTGTAAAGATCTGGTTAAAAAGAACACTTTCCTCATCTTTTAAGTGCAGAGTTACGTATGCTGCTACACTAAATCACAGAAGCTCTGGTGTAGTGGTTATGAATCGGGCTGCTAACCTCAGGGTCAGCAGTTCGAAACTACCAGCTGTTCTGCAGGAGAAAGATGAGGTTTTCTGCTCCCATAGAGATTTACAGCCTCAGAAACACTGTACAGGGTCTCTAAAAGACGGAACCGACTCCACAGCACATAACAACAACAACAACACTAAATCACATACATCAAAGTCACACACAGAGGTTTCAGGGATAATATCTTCTGGAAGACCAGGAAAACTGCTCATAGCAAAAACCCCAAAATGTAACCTGAGAAACTCAATCGAGAAATGTTTCCTATTTCTAATATTCCAGAAGGTGACTTCCATTTCCAGCCTATGAAGCTATCTTATTGCCTGTATTGTGTATCCAATCTGAAGTAATCACAGACATCGGAATCTTGTCTGATCTGCCTTTAATCTTACTTATATAATACTCAACTAGTCCCCACCAATCTGAAGAAAGTGTTAAATAATGTTGCACAACTATCAGTTTCTGCGACTTGCAGTAACTTATTAGTTTTAAGTGTTATTAAGTATCTCCAAAACTAATGCAAATGCTGTTTCCCTTTAGGAAGTAGATAATGCTGCTCTTTCGCCAAAAGTGTAAAGTAGAGTTGAATATTGCAAGCCCTTAACTAGCCAGTCTGATTATCCAGATAAACTATTAAGCAGGATTTTGTATATATGCATGTTACAATTATGGAGAGCGCTTATTTGTTAAATCAAGACCACAAAAATTGGAGAAAAATACATCCCCAGGCCCTGCACTGTAATTAACCAATAGCATTTCAAGGGTTCTTTTAAATCAGATGCCGCGGGTAGAACACTTACTGGTTTCAAAACAGAAGGGGACGGCTCTAAAAAGATACACCTTTTCCGGCTTGGCAGCACTCCGGGAATTACGCACCAATCACCAAACAGGAGGAACCCCCTACGCACCAGGCACCGGACTCAGCGCCGCACACTCCGGTGTAGGATGTTAGCCTGTTGGCATTTCCGTGGGCAGAAGCTGTGTTCCGGGATACGGCGATAGTTAACAAGAGCCTGTTTCCTGGATGAGAGGCTGAGGAGGCCCCACTGCGGGTGGGTAGGACAGAGACCCTCTCCCACTAACAGACTAGGGAAGGCGTGGCGACACTCCTTCCGAGGCCAGCCCCACCGACGCTTCCGGGGCCTCAGCCGGCGACTTGTCTAGGCCACTCCGGAGCGGCTCAGCGAGAAACTGTGAGGCCACCCACTCCGGCTCTCTCGTCTGCCCGTATGGGGCCTTCCCGTACCGTTCACGTCGGAGCCGGAGCAATCCCAGAATCAGTCTTACAATAAACCGTACTCACCGGCTGGGAACCGGCCTCCCAGCAGCCATCTTAACACTCCGTCAACATTCTGCCTTCTCATTGGCTCTGACCTCTCAACCAATGGGTGGAGGCTATTCTTGCTGTAAGGTTGCCATGGCAACCAGCGTAGGTCTGCTTTTCAACTGGAATAATTCAGGTTATTTTCCTTCTTCTTTTTTTCCCCGCCCCCCGCTTTCCCTTCTCTCTCACATACTTCTCCCTTTCTTCTGAACGTTTTTGAAGACTGATTACACTGCCTTCCCTGCCCTACGTCTGGGCGTCTGAATGAAGAGAGTGCAGGTTTGAACGTTGAACTAAGTTCATTCCACAAGGACCGTGAAGCCCTGTGTGGATGCTCCCAGGTCCTTCTAGGAACGTTGTTATTCATCATGCATGCATTCATTCGTGCATCCCACCTGCCTCCCTCCCTGCTTTCTTTTTTTTTTTTTTTTTTTTTTTTTTCCTTCCTGCACTTATTTAGTGAGCCCCACACAGCACTAGACACTAAGCCAACCCCGCTTTCTTGTTGCTAAGTGCTGTCCAGTTGGTCCCGACTCACAGCGACCCTTTATAGGGATTCCAAGGAGGGGCTGGTGGGTTTGAACCTCCGACCTTGTGGTTCAAGCTGACCTTGCGGCCCAATGCTTATCCTACAAGGTCACACCAGGACTTTCGTTGTTGTTGTCAAGTCGGGTTCCGACCCATAGCGACCCTGTACAGGGTTTCCGAGGAGCAACTGTGTGAGCTTGAACCGCCAACCTTGCAGTTCAAATGACTTTGCAGTCTGGCTCATTAACCCATGGCGCCACACCAGGACTAACGAACAACAATCCTGACTCTTAATAGAGTTTAATGTCTGCTGATGGGAATGCAGGCTGCTTCCCTTACATGCTGTGTGACCTTGACCCAAAGTTAATTGAGCTGCTTTTCTATGCCAGGCATTGTTGTAAGCCCTGGGAGCAGGGAGGAGAGCATAGAAAATAAACAAGGAAAGACCGCTGTGAAGAAAGTAAGAGTGATAGTGGCAATGATGGGAAGTGGAACTATTTTAGAAATGTGTATATGTTCTTAAATAGTTGTTTTTCAGTAGAAGAATACCATCCGACCTTTTAGGCCCACGTATGGCACTGTAGGATAAGCACTCGACAGCAAGATTGGTTGGAACCACAAGCGTGGCTGTTCAAACCCACCAGCCACTCCTCGGAAACTCTGTACAGCATCGCTAAGAGTAGGCACGGACTGGACGATAGC